CAGCAACAGCAACGACCACAACAACAACACACGCAAACATCAACAACGAGCAATAACCAACACCAAGTAACACCATCGACCACATCAACATCAACAACAACAACAGCAACAATAACAACAGCATCAACATCAACAACAACCAACACACACAACAAGTACAACAACAGTCATTTTAAGACTGCTCGTTCTTATCTGCTCACGTGACAGTCAACACTGTATCCCAGACTCTCGATACCCGCCCTCTTCGTCTTCGATCGTACCCCCTGAGGGGCATATCTTTCTTACCTGCAACGTGTGTTTTGTGCAGCCCCCAAGGCAAGGGAAGAGACGATGGATGGACGGAAGCGACAAGGGGCAGGCGGGTTGCCGCAGCGTGCATCCTGCATGAATCCCGAGGAAGTCTCGAGCTATAGCGCGATTCCCAAATACATCGCAAGGAAATCCACCGCGAGAGCCCGACTCCTGAGTGTCGAGAGCGCGGCGATGGAATTGAAAGAAGTGCCACACGAGAGCGGCACTCCTGGATAAATTATGAAGAAATCCCGCGCGAAAGCGCGATTTGGGAATGCATTGTTAGTAAATGTCAGGCGGGAGCCGTTGTTGTTGTAAACCGGGGGCCAACAGCCCAGTTTGGTGACACATCATGTCCCCTTGTAACACAACAAAATACAATGGTTGCCGGGGAAGGCGGATCAACAACAAATATTATTTAGAAGTGAGAACTTAACAACAATCCGTACCGCAGAAGCCCGTTTCAGCCACGCACCCAGGGACACTGCATGACCCTTCGGCCCCCCTCACTCCGACTTTGTATGCGCTGTAAGTGCGAGGCCTCTGCCTCAGATGGCCACACCCCAGCGGAGGAGGCAGACTGAACGTTAGGAGGCAACTCCGGGGAGGTCGCCGTCAGAACGATGCAGGGCTAATGCGCTCAGGCCACTGAGCGGGATCATGCCAGATTGAGCCTGGGCTTCAACCACATTGCATGGGATTGCACTGGACCCAGCGGGGCCAAGCCAACCTAGGCCAGACTGGGCCGGACTGGGCCAGCTCTCGACCAAGAACATACAGCGCCGATCCCGAACTCACTTCCAAGGATTACCAGCCTGGAACATATCCCTATCCCTATGCTGGGCACCTCCTCATCACGATGCCAATCTCAGGGACTCCCTTTTTTTTGAGGGCGCATCCCTAAGATCGTCATCGCCTTTTGGCGTGTCAATCTTAGGGATAGGGATACGTTCGAGGCTGGTAAATGCCAGCTCTCGACCAAGAAAATACAGCGCCGATCCCGAACTCACCTCCAAGGAGTTGCCCCTCGGGGAGCGCGACCTCTGGCCACCCCTCGAACTGGCCATCGCTCGGACGTCAATTCCCTGTGTTTTTTTCGGTTTCGTGCGTGGCTTTTTCGCCAAATGATCAAGGATGCTCCTCGATGGCCCTCCTCGAGAGAACAATGCACACGTCCGAGCGATGCCACCCCTCTCGAATGGGGGATGGCCGGGCGAGCCGAGGGCGGAGGCGGCCAGGCCTGCGGCGCCCAGGCCGGTGGAGACGGCCCCGCGGGCGGCCCGGCGCGCGCCGGCCCCCCCGCCCGCGGCGCCGCCGCCTGCAGGATCTCTCTTGTTCTGTCCACAGCGCAGGGCAGCTGTCCTCCTCCTCCTCCCCCTCCTCCTCCTCCTCCTCCTCCTCCTCCTCCTCCTCCTCCCTCCTCCTCCTCCCCTCCTCCTCCTCCTCCTCCTCCTCCTCCTCCTCCTCCTCCTCCTCCTCCTCCTCCTCCTCCTCCTCCTCCTCCTCCTCCTCCTCCTCCTCCTCCTCCTCCTCCTCCCCCTCGTCCAGCACCCCACCCCCCAGCGCTCTAGAGCACTGCAGCGAGGCCGCTCCGCAGCGCGAGGCGGAGGAACGCAGGATGGCCGCCGAGCCGCGACGTCGACGAGCCGATGCGTTGCAAACTGGTGCCGCCACCTGCCGAGGGGGGGGGCTCAATCAGCACCGAGTCGGGATGTCGGATCGGAGCGGCGCGTGCGTTGGATCCGGCCGCATCGGCACGGGAAGACGGAATCGGGTCGGGGTCGGCCGCGCCAAGGTTCACAACAGCGCCACGCGAGCACTGGGCCGCATCGAACCGCCAGAAACACGGAACCGAGCCGGAACGGATCGGCCAGAATCGATATCGAGTGGGACAGGCCGGATCGGGACTGACCCTGCCAGGGTGGGGCCAGGCACGCCAAGGGGGGGCGGGGGGAGCGTCAGGGGGGAGAGGCTCGAGGATCGAGGTTCACTGCTTTTGGTACATGTTTCGCCTTTCCTGGGCCTCCCCTCGTCGCAATGGCTGGGTTCAGCTTCGAATCCCAGCCAGACCGCACCTCAAGAGAAGTCTGGAAGTCCGGTTTCAAGCTCCCAGAACCTGGAACTCCAAGGCATTGACAGAAGCAACGCTGCAAATGATCTCAATGTTCGGCATGTGTGGGCCCTCAGCGGTCCCTGGAACCATAAAACGAGTACTCGGGATGACAAGCCGGCTCCGGAGGAAAGGGACTGGACTTCCAGAAGCCCTGCATTGAGAACACAATACATTGGATCTCTGGGGACTTGGCCCGGGCGACGGGGAACCCATTGACTTGAAATCGGCAACGCGTCCCCGACAGATCGGCGACTGCACTTTCGATAGCGAGACAGCACGTTCCTGGGCGGGCGCGGGAATCAGGGCCCCGACAGGCGATGAAAGGGCGATGAATACAGTACCCCCTACCGTCGCGCCTGACCCAAAGGGGGGGTCATCGTTGCCGTCCCGGAGATATGGCCGATTCCAAAAATTTTCGACAAAAAAAATGTTGTCATCTCCTGGGGGCGCATCACTTACTTCCGGCGCCTTCCACCGGCCTTCCGCCGCCTTCCGCCGAGGAAGAGATGGCAATTCCTTCGATCCTCGAAGGCAAGGCCCTGTTTGGAACGCCTCATATGGCGATTCGATATGTTCGGTGCGCGGACATCTGATCCTCTCAACCAGCCGAATTTTCCCCCTGCAATTTTGTAAACGGTCTCTGGTGCGCCGGGCCAGGGGCCAAAACATGCGATGCGACAGACCAATATCCCGATCTTTTCGAAGCGCAGGAAGGATGCATGGGGGGGCCCGCCCTGGCAGCCTCAACGCGCTCGGCCCTTTCGTGCTAGGAGCAAAGAAGAGCGACACCACCACCAATAGCACGAGGAGCATGACGGGGTCCTCCTTCTGGTTTGGTCCTGCCCTCCCGCTCGAGCCGCCCCCGATCCACAGTTCGGGAGGTATCGTGAATCTCCTCGCCAGAAGTGGCACCCCTGGTGGCCGTGGTGCAGTGCTTCCCTCCTCGAAGCCTGCGGGGCGCCCCCAGGGAGCCCTGCCGAGGAGGCCTCCTGACTCGGTCGGGGTGCGCCCAAATGGCCCCCTGTGGTGCGCATCCCCGAGCGCCACCCCCTTTTCCGAGCGGCCACCAATGGGGGGCTGTGACCGCGGGACTCGGACGCACGCTACTACCGATCACGGGCCCGTGGATCCAGCAGGGGGCGCCAGATCCACGGATCGGGGCGAGCAGCCTCCCCCCTCGAAGCATGGCGCCAGTGCCGCCCGATCTGGCGACGGAGCGCGCCAGGTCAGCCCGCTCTCTTCAAGTGCTGCGCTGCACCAGGCAAGGGTGGCGAAAACGTGTTGCTAGCGGCACCTCGTCCCGTGGACCACCACCGTCGCCCCAGCGGAGGGAGGGAGGGCGGGACAAACGGTCCCCCTGGTCCAAAAGTGCTGCAGAAGCAAAGCGGAGGGGGAAGACGAGCAGAGGGCAAGAGGACAGCACACGCATGGGGCCAGCAGTGCTGACTTTGCTCCACCTTCGTGAATCAGCCTTTGCGCTTCCTCGAAGGTCGGAAACTTTCGCTCGCCGTGTCGCGGCGGCGGCCCCAGCGACGCGCTATGCCTTGCGAGTGGATAGCGTGCCGCTCCGCTCCGCGGGCCGGGAAGTCGGGCAAGGATCGCGACGCTGACACCCGGGGACCGGGACATGGACAGCCTGGCGCGCCGCGGCGTGGTGGGCCAGCACCGGCGGAGCGACACGCTGAGCCGAAGCCCCCAACCGCAGCATGGTCCCAGGCGCGGGAACCCCACCTCCGAGCTCCGAGCCCTCCGCGCCACGAGAAGAGGTACACAGAGACACCCTCCGACGAATCTGTCATGGAGGGTGGCGGCGCATAACGCCGCTGGGCCCAACGGACATATGCTGCTACTCCTCCTCCTCCCCCTCCTCCTCCTCCTCTTCCTCCTCCCCCTCCTCCTCCTCCTCCTCCTCCTCCTCCTCTTCCTCCTCCTCCTCCTCCTCCTCCTCCTCCTCCTCCTCCTCCTCCTCCTCTCCTCCTCCTCCTCCTCCTCCTCCTCCTCCTCCTCCTCCTCCTCCTCCTCCTCCTCCTCCTCCTCCCCTCCTCCTCGTCCTCCTCCTCCTCCTCCTCCTCCTCCTCCTCCCTCCTCCTCCTCCTCCCCCTCCCCCTCCTCCTCTCCTCCTCCTCCTCCTCCTCCTCCTCCTCCTCTCCTCCTCCCTCCTCCTCCTCCTCCTCCTCCTCCTCCTCCTCCTCCGCCTCCTCCTCCTCCTCCTCCTCCTCCTCCTCCTCCTCCTCCTCCTCCTCCTCCTCCTCCTCTCTCCTCCTCCTCCTCCTCCTCCTCCTCCTCCTCCTCCTCCTCCTCCTCCTCCTCCTCCTCCTCCTCTCCCTCCTCCTCCTCCTCCTCCTCCTCCTCCTCCTCCTCCTCCTCCTCCTCCTCCTCCTCCTCCTCCTCCTCCTCCTCCTCCTCCTCCTCCTCCTCCTCCTCCTCCTCCTCCTCCTCCTCCTCCTCCTCCTCCTCCTCCTCTCCTCCTCCTCCTCCTCCTCCTCCTCCTCCTCCTCCTCCTCCTGGGGGCGCAGCAGCCAACGTGGGCCCCGAGGCCCGGGGACAATCCATTGGAGGGTGTCCGCCCCGCCGCCCCGCGGCCGAGACCCCCCCA